CAGACGGCAGAAAGCGGCATCCTATTTTTCTTTAGGCTTATTTTACAAAAGTACAAAGATTAGTTTTTTATTGTGAATGTACACAAATAAAGGCAAACCTTTTACAATTCCGATTATCTTTGACTAAAAGGAGTAGTTGCTTCCACTGTTAGAAGGAAATAATTCAAATGATTGCGCCAGCGCCACATGCGCACACACAGGTATTGCTACCTTGACAATGCAGCCTGCTCATTATCATAATAATTGCTACCTTGACAATGCAGCCTGTTCATTATCATAATAAAATGCAGTCAGTCAAACATATGGAAAAAAACACACTGCTCAGTTTAAATATGTAGTAAAATCTGTGCCGTTAAGCGTTATCATCGTACCGCCGTGAATGATGTTATGCAAACCATTTTGTTTTACGTGGATATTGGAATGCAAGTGAAGTAGGCTACATAATAAATAATATTTTGGCATTCAAATACATCGTGAATACGGAAACATTTGATTTTGTGTCGAATGAGAGACGCAACTTTGGGTTCAGTTTCGTTTTAGCCTTAATGAATTCGTTTTGGCTTGTCGTTTAGCTATAGCTTCTTATATTTTTAATTCTTGTTCTTTTCTAAATACTGTTAATTGAAAGGCTTTGTTGTGGAGTGAGGGGAACTAAAATAGCCTAGCTATGTTTACAGTGTTTATTATAATGTTTGTAAACATTTCGTGTCGGAATTAGGCCCATTTCTGAATGAAATAATAAAATGTGACTTAGACTGTTGTTTTTTTTCCTCTAAAAACTTTTTTTTTTTATATGCGTAGCGTATTTCAACCATGCAGCAAACCTTTTTAAATATTTTGATAAATTACTAACTAACTAACTGATAAATAAACTGATTGTATTAATCGGTCAAAATTCTTCACGGTCAGTTACCGGTTAACCGGTTAAAATTAACATCCCTAATGGAGACACATACCCATTTACACCTGGCATTTTAATCCATCTCTTCTGTCCACTTTCGACCACTTCTGACCAGATTACCCCCGCATCAGTGTCTACACCATGAAAGCAATCCGGTCGAATGCGTTTTCGACTACCTCTGGAAGTGGTCGAAAGTGGACAAGCTCAAAACGTTTCACACCCTGTTTACACCTGTATTTAGCGTTGTCTACTTGTGATCTGATCGACCAAAACGCATCTTAATACCAAGTGTAAACAGGGCCTCAGTTGTTGTTGTTTTCTGTGATAATAAGCAAGTCTAATGCTGCAATCACAATAGAATGAGCATGCAAAATTTCTACAGACACTGCAGTGGTTCTGATATGACATCACAGTCTGTAGCTTCTTTTTCAAAACAAATTCAGTATCTAAAAAAAGTACTTTACTTACTTTCTTTAAAAAAAAGTCTTCACTCCTGTGAGAAAATATAGCTTACATTTTGTGACGATATAAACAGCCATGCAACTGAGATTTACTTTACTTGTGTATATATATGCACAGTATACTGATGTAAAGTCAGATATACTCACTGTATGTGTTTAAATCGTTACCTATTGATTTATTTAATTTTATTATGTGGTGAAATTGAGGATTATGAAACCTGTGTGGGGTTTGTTTCATTTATAACAATTGGTAATTAAAATCTTATTTTTTTATTGTTTTTGTTTTTTTACAGTCTTTGCACCAGGCTTTAAATGAGCAAGCATCACATGTCAGTCAGCTTAACTCCACACTGGACCAGGAGTGTATCACATCCAGTAACCTGCGCTCTGAGCTCCAGATCGAGCAGTCTCGTTGTGAGGCCCTGCTGGCCCAGGAACGCGAACGCACTGAACTTGCGCTTTCCTGCCTTGAGGAGGAACGCTCTCGATCAGCAGAGCTATCAGATTCTCTCTCTCGCCAAGCCCAGGAGCATGTGCGCCGTTTAGAGGAGGAAGCTCGGAGACAGGAAGCAGCCAGTGCCCATGACAGAAAGTTTATACAGGACCTACGGGCGCAACTGGAACAGGAGAGGCGTCAGGGAGAGGACCTGGCAGCCATGTTGGAACGTCTGCAAGGGCAGGTGCTGGAAGGGAAGCGCAGGCAAGCGGAGCAGGCAGAGCAGGAGGCACACAAGGAGCAGGAGGAAGTGAGGAGGCTCCATGCTGCTCTGGAAGGCCTGCAGACTCAGAAAACACAGGTCGGACACACTTTAGAGGCGGCGCGAGAAAGAGCTGCTCAGTTACAAACAGAGTTGGATGTGATGAAAGAAAAATTGAGAGTGGTGAAAGAGAGGGAGAGAGTGAGGGAGGAGCAGATGGAGAGGCAGAGGAGACAGGAGAAACAGGAGCAGGTGGAAAAGGAGCGACGACAGGAACGCACCAATGAGAAACTGGTGAGGAAAAAGGGATAGTTCACCCAAAAATGTCAGTTCTGTTAAAATGTACTTACCATTGTTGTTCCAAACCAATAAGACCCAAAAACTTAAATTAAATCAGTTCATCATAAAGCGATCATTTCTCTTCACAAGATGTGTAACTTGGGATTCAACTGCTTGATTCATATTAATTCTTTTTACATCACCTTGTTTTTGTTTTGGTTAGCTTGACTTTCAATGAACGGGCAGAAACCACTCAGGTTTAATTCAAGATATTTTAAAGGGATATTTCACCCAAAAATAAAAATTCTGTCAGTAACTCACCCTCATGTCGTTCCAAACTCGTAAGACCTTCATTCATCTTCAGAACACAAATTCAGATATTTTTGATGAAATCCGAGAGCTTTCTGACCCTCCATAGACAGCAATGTGACTGAAATGTTCCCAGACCCTGAAACGATATTATCAAGAGATGTCCGTCAAAAATATCTTAATTTCTTACGGGTTTGGAACGACATGAGGGTGAGTAATTAATGACTGAATTTTCATATTTGGGAGATCTCTTTAATTTGTGTTTTGAAGATTAACCAGTTTTATAGGTTTGGAACAGTTGATGGTTAATCATTTTTGAGTGAACTAACCCTTTAATTTGATATGTACATGATCATCATAGTTTGCTGTCATTGTTTAAGAGCACTGAAGTTATTTGATGAATTGTCTCAGTTGGAGTTGGAAGTGTTGCGTGAGAAGGATCAGCAGCGGTTGAGGCAGCTGCAGCAGACGTTGGCTGACCTGGAGCACAAAGAGAAAAGGCTCACATCAGAATGCCTGCAGAGAGAGACACACTCCAATGGCCTGACCTTAGGCCAGAATGCACTCTCAAACATCTCTCAGGTAATGTTCTCCAGCCCTAAGTTTTGTATCGGCATGTCTGTCTTGTACTCTTAAATTACAAACCCAAACCTAATCCAAAAACGCACTCAGCTGTTTTTGTTTTACAAGCAAATTTTAAGTTTATTTATTATTTATCACACAGATATTTAACAATCACACTTGGCATATATGAACAATAATTTAATGCTGACAAGTCTATATTTGAAGTAACCAGACCAGCTGACCATATCCCCAATATACCCAGTCCTACTTATTCTCACAAGCTTTCACTCAGACGAAAGTGTTTGTACAGATACAAAATGAATTGTATGACATTTAAAATGAAGGCGAAATCGGTTTTGTTGTACTTTGTTAGTACAGAATGCGTAAAAGCAAGTGCTAAAGGGATACTTCACCCAAAAGTGAAAAGTGGCGTAATTTACTCACCATCTTGTCATTACAAAACTGTATGACTGACTGACTTATGTGGAACACAAGATATTTTAAAGAATGCTGGTAACTTAAATAGTTTCAGTGCTCAAGGAAATCAGTTGTATATTTTTATCCATTGTAGTGAAAGTTAATGGGAACCAAAACTGTTGAAACCAATGCAAATTATTGCCTCAAATTTGATCCGATTTTCACGTGACTTGTCTGTTCAGACCATTATGGGGGGAAAAATGGCAGGCACATTGAACGGAAATGAGAATTCACTCTCTGACAGTAGGTGTTGCAGAAATACCCTGGTTATCCTTGAGCACAAAGGGAAGAAAAGGATCGTTTGTGGCCATATTGTGCAACCCTATAAAACCTATCAGATTTTTTTTTTTAAACCCTATCAGATTTTTTTCAATTGCAATTATCAGGAATCACAATCCCGCAAATTAAGTTTGATCGTGTATTGTGATGTATTTGTAATATATTTGATCATCTGCTAAATAGGATTCAACCTCATCCACTAACTCTCTAATGGAACGTTTGCTGAAGGAGAACGCCGATTTCTCTGAGTGTCTCGCTGCTCTGAGTGAGGAGAAGATCTCCCTCAAACACACTATATCCTGTTTGGAGAGAGACCTGCAAAGCCTGAAACACCAGGAGCAGGTGATATTATTAACAATTAGTTTCTTCTTTTTAATTTTAACCTTTTTTGAAAGGCAGACCTTTTTTAACATCAATCAAGACATTATGCAACCAATGAATTCACCTACTGAAAAATGTTTGCATGATGTGTGAAGGCTGAAAGTTGCAGATAAATGCAGTTCTTCATCTGTTTTAATGTTCAGTTCGTGTGTATTTTGGTTCCAGGTGTGATGCTTCATATAGATTTGGTTGTGCATGTCTGTCTGTCCGTCAGGTGAAATCTCCTGCTGTTACGGAGCAGTGTATGTTATCAGAGAAGCTGGACTGGCAGAAGGAAAAAGCAACTCTTCAGGCTGTGCTGCGTAAAGCAGAGGCTGAACTCTCAAAAGTCACAGCTAGCAATGAAAACAGACCCACCTATGACCTCTCTAATAACCGGGTAATTTGGATTAATGAATTAAATGTATAATCAGTTCCTTTATTTAAATGGTTTAATGTAGTGTTTGGTTTTTGACCGAAAATATGTACTTGAAGTAACCTTCTGATATTTTAGCTTATTTGAATAATTTAACAACACATTTACAGTTCTTTGATGTTGGTTAATGTCAGATTGAGTTTTTTTTTTTTTTGGTATTTATTTTTATAATTTAAAAGTACATTTTAAGTGTGTTTGAAGTGCTTGCTTTATGAACCTGTTCCTGTAGGTGCAGCGGCTCTATGAGAGATACCTGCGAGCGGAGAGTTACAGGAAGTCGCTGGTGTATCAGAAGCATTATCTGCTATTGCTGCTGGGAGGGTTTCAAGAGTGCGAACAGGCTACTCTTGTGCTAATCGCTCGTATGGGTGCGCAGCCGACATTGAGCCAATCAAAGGCCTCTAGACCTCTAAACCGCTTCAGAACATCTGTCAGAGTAGTCATCGCTATCTCAAGGTAAAAAGAATGGCTACGTAGATGTGTCTGGCAAAGTTAGTATGGAGTTTGGAAACCGCTTGCTTGTGACTGTTTCAAGTTTAGAAATGTTTAAATTTGTATTTAAAACTTTGAGTTTTAAATGTACATTTATTCCATTTTTGCCTTAGTAACCACCCAATAAACCAAGGCAAAACTGGAATGAGTTTCCTGACCCCCTTTTTTTTTTTTTTTTAAGACTGAAGTTCCTCACTAGGAAATGGCAAAGAGCTACAAGGAAAATCTCAGTAGGCAGTGCTACAGTTAACGGGCATGGAACAGGACCAAGCACAGGTAAGAGTGGTAAGTTGTTCAGCTTGCAGACTTGATTTGGTAGTTCTGCAGGTGATTTAAATCATAAGTAATTTATGTGCTGTTTTCCCTTCTCTCTTAGTTCCTGCCTTGAGGACTGAAGTGCTGAGGCCACAGCAGACTGGAGTTGCGTTCAACTCTCCACCCACCCATGATCAAGCCTTTGCGCAAAGGGGTGTGGTCTCGTCTCTGGTGCCGCCAATCAAATCACCCTTCAGACTGAATCATAGGTGAAATATTTCTTACTATACAAACAGGTGTATGTAGTGTGGATCTAGGTTGGTTTTCCCTTTTAGTGTTTTTAATTCAAATTACAAATGTCGGATTCATTAACTTTCACTCTTTTCTTTCTTACTCAAAGTTTGTATACAATTTTTGAATGGTCTGTACATTTTCACAGTTTATATTTTTTTACTTGTTGTCCACAGTAAGCATTTATTAAGACATTTGCACTTGAATTTGTGATTTTTAATGGATGTCACTGTTTAAATGCACATGGTTGGACATGTTTTGTAAAATGTTTTATATTCTTTTTTTTTTTTTTTTATGAACAGTATTTCTACGAAAATCAATAAATATATTTTAGTCTAAATTGAGTTATTTGGTGTCTGTGTCATTAAAAAAAATAAAAGATAGTTCACCCAAAAATGAAAATTCTGGCATTTAGAATGTGGGTAACCTAACCGTTTCTCATTGACTTCCATAGTGTTCTTTTTCTTTCTTTCTTTCTTTCTTTCTTTCTTTCTTTCTTTGGTTACCCACATTCTTTAAAATATCATCTTTTATGTTCAGCTGAAGAAAGAAATTGATTTTTTTTAAAATGTTTTATATTCTTTTTTTTTTTTTTTTATGAACAGTATTTCTACGAAAATCAATAAATATATTTTAGTCTAAATTGAGTTATTTGGTGTCTGTGTCATTAAAAAAAATAAAAGATAGTTCACCCAAAAATGAAAATTCTGGCATTTAGAATGTGGGTAACCTAACCGTTTCTCATTGACTTCCATAGTGTTCTTTTTCTTTCTTTCTTTCTTTCTTTCTTTGGTTACCCACATTCTTTAAAATATCATCTTTTATGTTCAGCTGAAGAAAGAAATTAATACAGGTTAAGTGTAGGGTACCTAGCTGGGAAGGTTTTTTTTTTGTTAATGTGGTCTCAAAGATTACATTTTAGATTAGTGGAAAATGGGGAAAAAATTAGTTGCTTTTTAACAGAAGATCTTTGCACGGTATGCCCCTTCAATATGCTGAATCGGTCAGTTCACAGGGAGTAATATTTGTGCATATCTTATATATCCTATTAAGTAGCTTTTGCTTATTGAATTCATTGCTGGACAATAATTTATGCCTCTTTAAGGCATGACATCTCGATTTAAAGGGGAATATTGAATAAATGATGTTTTTGATAGGCCTGATATTAAAAGAGCCTCACGTAGCATAACAGTAACGTTAGCTAGATAATACTACGTGATATGATATGTTTGTGGAGGATGTTAGCGCTATGATGGTCCATGTGACATCAAATTTTCCTCAAGTTGGAAATAAGTGTTGCTTTTTGGCCATTTGGAAATCAGGAAGTGTAAAAAAAATATATATTTTAAAAAGAATATATGGCCGTCTAAAAATTTGCACGAAACATAATGCGACGACATCTGCGCATGCGCTGAAATTTTGTAAACCAGTACGTTATGTGAATCGGACTGCAAAGTTCAGAGTATATAAAATATATTTTCATGTTCTGGTGTCGGTCTGGATTCATTCATTCGGATGGAAGAATAACCAGCGTGCTTGCTGCTGTAGTTCAGCTCCGGTTTCAGCGTTTAATGTTGTTCATACCTCAATTTTCGCGAGTCCACCTGAGGCATTATAGTATGGTATGTCTGTATATACTGTGTATATATATATATATATATATATATATATATAATATATAATGTCTATCATTGTGTTGTTGTTGATTACACATTGTTGTGAAGCACGTGAAGACGGGGTGCGCTATGATGTTACAGAAGGCCCGGATAGCTCAGTCGGTAGAGCATCAGACTTTTAATCTGAGGGTCCAGGGTTCAAGTCCCTGTTCGGGCGGTTCTTTTTTCTTAACTTTTACTAACGAAGAATATGCGTGGCAGTACAGTAGAGGTCTGCGCGGGAGGTCCCGCAAGGTTCTATTCCGCACCCACCCGCTCACGCTATATATCCACTCTTTGTTCACTCGCTGTCCGCTTAGAATAATTTTCTTCCCGACCCGACCGTTCCAGCTAAATTTAGATCTCGTTTCCAGAATCTCACATTTAAATTTCCGCTACTGAAAGAAAGCGAGATAGGCTGACAAATAAAAGAGGACGAGTATGGAGGACCAATATGTATGGAGGACGAAACCTGCAAAAACAATAAATACATAAATACACAAAGAAATAAATAAATGTGTGCATAAATACACGTATTCTTGTTTAAATACATAAATAAATAATTATACATGTGATGAAAATAGGCAAATAAATAATATAAATTGGTGGGCAAATGGAAAATGTTTAAGGAAATGCTAAACTCATCCTATTTATTTTCCTTTGATCACTCATTTATTTCTGAATGTAGTTCCGCATTTATTTTTCCTCTGCGCAACATGCTAATGAGAGGGTGTCAATTATGCAAGAGTAGGCGGATCGTGTGTGTCGCGCTTGAGCGTTTGCCTGCGCATGCGTATTAACTTCATCAGTCAAGGGGACTAATTATTATCTTACACTTTTTCATAGGGCTAGTTTTGTAGTTATAATCATGAGAAAGCTAAATAAATAAACTGTCAAATCATATATAAATATGTTGTTTATTTCACTACCGAATGGGCTCAAACACAAAATATATATCATAATTTAAAACTCAATAGCATTTGAGGAGAATAACTTACAGTAACACAACCAACTGTAACATGTTCATGTAGGTCTCAGTTATAATGCACACCTTTTAGATTTTTGATATTTATTCAAATAAACTGTCAAATCATATGTAAATATTGCTATTTTTTTTCTTTACAAATATGGGCTCAAGCACAAAATATGCCAGAATTTAAAGCTCAATAGCATTTGAGGAGAATGGCTCAGTCATAAAACCAACTGTAAAGTGTTCATGTAGGTGTCAACTATAATGCACACCTTTTAGATTTTTGATATTTATTAAAATAAACGGTAAATTAATATCTACACTGTAAAAAACACTTCCTGTAGAAATTACAGTAACTAACTGGCAGCAGTTCGGTCGTAACTTACTGTAATTTTATTTTGTAGCAAAAATACTGTATTTTATTTCACCCTCTCATTAGCATGTTGCGCAGAGGGACAAAAAATGTGGAACTACATTCAGAAATAAATGAGTGATCAAAGGAAAATAAATAGGATGAGTTTAGCATTTCCTTAAACATTTTCCATTTGTCCACTAATTTATTTTATTTATTTTCCTACTTTAATCACATGTTTAATTATTTCTATATGTATTTAAACAAGAATTTGTGTATTTATACAGACATTTATTTATTTGCATATTTATTTATTTATTGTTTTTGCAGGTTTCGTCCTCCATATACCGGTGGTCAATAAGAATAAAGCGCAGATATGCTGTTCTAAATGGACGTCGGGAGCGGGATATTGTTAGACCGCCCGCTCCCGTTCCAATTACACCAGAGTTGCCGACCGCTACCGCGTTTTATTCGGGAATTTAATCCCGCGGCGCAAAAAATCCGGTCGGGTCGCGCGGGCACCACGGGAATGCAGACCTCTACAGTACAGTATATATATGGTTTAATTAAATAGTGGGTTGATTTTCAACCCTTTAATTCAGGAATCATTAAAACATGAACATAAAATCATATAAATATAAAATCCCCTTTTTTAAAAAAAATCTAAAATTTGTTTGATGATCTGAATCTTTTAAGTGTGACAAATATGCAAAAAATGTAAAAAACAGGAAGGGGGCCAACACTTTTTCACACCACTGTATTTTTTAATAACTGTACACAAGCTATTAAATATATTTTATTGATGAATTTAACCTGTACAAAATGTAAATATACAACACAGTCTAGAAAACTGAAAACAAAAGCCAATGGAAAATGCACAGCTGCAGTTGATAGATTAGTTAAGGTCAGAGAAGCATTTTACAGGCCAATTATTACAAACACATACCAGTATAAAGGTCAAGGGTCATGCACAATTTGCACCTTGAACATTCTCTAAGCACAATGTATGCGAGCAGTGCAAGATATGAGAAATGGGGTCAGTTTTTTTTATGCAGTGATGTTCTATGAATGAAATCCAAAATCTTTTGCAGTCACACGCAAACTACACAAAGGATTGTTTATTCTCTTTAGCAGTTATGGGTTTGAGGATGAAAGGTGCAGAAGGCTGCAATCACTCAAGTGTCATGCACTTTCTGGGAAACTTCAGTGCCAAAAACAAGCCGGTCCTGAGATATCTGAAACATATAATGCTATACACAACTCCCTCATTCTCACGAATCATGTTTTATTCACCTGAGCCACGGTAAATAAACTGAAAATCTAACTGAAAAAAATCCTGGGGTTTTATCCTATAGCCAGAAATATACAACTTCTTTTAAAACTGCATGTTAATAAAAACAAGTGCGATTTGTCCACTGCCTTGGAGTCATCCTTTGGATCTGAAAAACGATAAAGTGCATTCTCACTTGATATTTTGCAAATAAAAAAAATTAATAAAGAGCATGCATCATTTTTATAGTGCCAGACTTGAATGATCTTCAATGGTTTTCCCCCCCCTCACAGAAATCTGGGATTGGCAATAAAATCTAAGTTTGCAAAGCTTAAAGTTCATAATGGCACATTGCATATTATAAATATTTCTTCCTCCTATCAAAATTATTCAAAGCAGCTCAAAATTTCTAAGCACATATTTCCTACATCAACACCAACCTTTACTTTTTGACAAGAACGGAAATGTCAACTGAATGCAATCCTATTTGGCCGTTTACTCAAAGGACTTCTGTCAACTGCTTTGTCCAGCTGGCAAATAGACTTTCCTATTCACAATGAAATACTTTACAGAACTTCTCTCAAGTGGATCAATATGTGAGAACTATGAATAATTGAGTATTTTGATAATGTTGTTCATTCTATCTTTCCCACAGAAGCTCAAACCATTACAATGCATCTGGAAATTTGATACGATGCCACTCTGACATACAGTAATTAAGCTCAGACTTGTGTT